ATTCGGCTTTTGTAAAAACAAATCAAGTGAACTAGCATTACTCGAACAAAAATAATATATACTCACACAATTTGAAAACAAAGCCAACGTTCTTGGTGCATTTGTAGATTTTTCAAAGGCTTTTGACTTAGTAAATCATGACATTTTGCTTGAAAAGTTGAAATGCTACGGTATCCGAGGACGGGTTTTATCGCTTCTGAAATCTTATTTATCTAATCGAGAATAGATTGTCCAGATTAACAATATGCGCTCAAAGGCGCAACCAGTACTTTGTGGTGTGCCACAGGGCAGCATATTAGGGCCACTACTCTTCAACGTTTATCTTAACGATAGTGTAAATATTAGCCCCACAGCCAAATTCATAGTATATGCGGATGACACTAGCATACTTGTCTCTGGCCATGACATTCATGAGCTTATAGATCGATGTAATAATACAATGAAAACACTCGAGAGCTGGTCGGCAGCTAATGCTATGCAAGTAAATGAAGGAAAAACAAAGGCGGTTATGTTCAGACCCAAAAACAATCCCGTTCCTACACATCCAGAAATCTTCCTTAATTCACGCCGTATAGAAGAGGTAGATAATTTCAGGTGTCTCGGTATCATATTTTCCGCCGACATGCTATGGGACGTTCATGTAAACTACTTGCTAACAAAAATAGCGCAAATTACTGGCATAATTGGACGCATTCGATACCTCCTTCCCGCACAAGTTAAATTGCTTCTTAATAATTCAATGCTTTTCTCACACTTAAACTATTGTCAACTAGTGTGGGGGACAACGACATCTTCAAACCTACAGTGTATTCATTTATTACAAAAGAAATATATTCGCCATATCTATAACGCCCCTTATGGAACACCAAGTTCAATTTTATTTCGTCGCTCTCGCGTTATCAGGGCACACGACCTATACAGATATCGTTTGAGTGCTCGTTATAAATTAGAAACACAGAGAAATATAAGTAATATACGCAATCTTTTTCAACTGAAAATAAAAACCTCTAGTTACTGTACAAGACACAAAGAGAGCGGGGTAGTCCCTACAACTCGACTAAACTCCGGAAAAGAATGTCTCTGTTACCTTTTACCATCCCTTTTAAACAACTATCACCACGTACATTTTGATCTGTACACTTGCAGATATAGTGAACTTCGCGAAATGTACAAAGCATAAAAGCACACATATGTATGCCTTGTGAATGTGTGTATGTATATGTGCGTCTAAGGTTATGTGTACACACTAAACATTGTAACACCCATAATCGCGTAAAAAGGGTGTAAAAGGGTGTAGGTTAGGAAAAACGCCCTTTTTACACGCTTTCTGAATATCGGTGGGTGTAAAAAGGGTGTGCTGACGTTTTACACCCCTTACACGCCCTCTTTGCGTCCCACTTGCAGCGATGGTGTCTGAAATCCTGTAAAAAGGGTGTATGGGCGTATTTTACGCCTTTCATCCGCACGGTGTGAAAGGGGCGTAATGGTGATGATGTCAAATACACCCATGATTTCATAGCCGTTCATATTGAATTGAATTGAATTGGTTTTTATTTAGACACTAGGTCAAGGGTAACAGGACAAAAGGCAGATTATCTCTGCCTGACGTGGTCCTATCACCCGTTTACAATGCAAGCACTATTTATTGCTTTACTACAATACAAAGCAATATTTATTGCTTTGGTGAAACTGTTTTTGATGTACGGCGGTAGAAACATCGAGTATAATTAATTGCCACACGGAGTCGCGTATGATTAGGAAGTGCTAGAGAATAGTTTTTGCAACTAATATTGAACTTTTCGTTCGACACGAGCCTAAAATTACGTTTCGCGCGTGCATCAGTTTTATCGGTTCAACCTTGATTATAAAAAAAATCATCTCCGCTCGCGAAAAAAAGAAAAAATGAATGAAGACGTTTAAATATACAACCTAGGCAGCACACACTATTGCGCTGTTATGGAATTAAATCGGAAAGATTGTGTCGATATTATTTTGGTCTAGGCAATATCTGAAAAATGGGATGGGTCGCGCCGACGCTGTCCTGACATACCGTACTTGGCGCCGTTTTTGCTTGAGTGTCAAGAGTGTCCTGCGTGAATCGGCTATGCCGGCGAGGTATTTCTATTTCTTGACTGTCTAAAATCCGACGTTAAAAAAACGAAACAAATCAAAATTAAGCGAAATAGAATCTGCTTGCTTTTAACCTGAGAAAGACCTTTTAAGCTGAAGACTTGAACAAACTGTGGCGCCCTCATTTCGGATATTACAAACTCACCTGACTGGGTTTCGCACTACTGATAGCACCTTCACTGATACTTTATTTCGGAGTGTAGCTCTGAAGAAACAATGTCGCAAGACAATCGAAAGTGCCGGATTAATGACACCCCCAGGGACGAGACTCTTATCTCTGCGTAATGACACCAAAATATCTAGCTTTCCGACGCTTTTTTTTCCGGTTTTTCTTTGGTACACGTGAAACCGCGTCTTCAGCGGCGTTAAAAATGTTTTTTGTATTTATCTTGTGATCTCGCGGTCCGTACCAGATCATGCGCGTCTACATGAGTGGCAGTTTGAGAGGCTCAAGGTTGTACTACGCAAAGAAAGTCCTGACTAGGGTGCCTTCATGTGCGCTTCGCATAGAGTGATGCCAACTGCCTGTTTCCCTTTCCCACACCCTCTTCCACCGCCATTCTGTTCCTCTCAGTGTTTCCCCGTGCGCCGGAAAGTGGCCTTTGTGTCCATCGGTCCTCACATCCGAGGGAGAAAATGATAATCCTCCCTCCGTGGGTTCCACAACGCTTCTCCGAACTCGTGAGATAAGGTGCTTGTTTCCGGGAGGGTTATAAGCCCCACTGATCATCGCCGAGAACCAAAATGGCTGCTGGTTTGTCGGCGAGTGGTATTACAAAGGGTGGCATCACCCTAGAAAAGCGTACATAAGGGCTCCCTAGTCCTGACGAGTCCGATTTCGCGACCTTACCTGGGCAGGGCAGGTGACAATACAAAGCAGCAGAGGGAAATTAGCGGCTTTTCCAACCCCCTTTGACCTCGTCTTCTGATAAGCCTCAAAACCTTCTTTTGTGCCTTCGTGTTGCTGTGAGCGAGTGCGAAGGCCACTTCTAGCAAATCAGAGGGGTGGCGCAAAACACGTGACCGCTCTCCGTAGGACAAGGACGCTTGGATGAAAATTTGTCACGTGATTCGCTCTGACGCGCTGATGGGCTACTGGGGCCGTAGTCTTTGCAGTATGCCAAGTTATGGTGAGTTATAGGGGCCACGTAGGTCCGGTTTACAAAAAGGGGGGCGCCCGTCAGTGTATTCCTGTTTTTCGTGCGTTCGAGTCGCGGCCATGATTTTTCGTCGTGAACGGCCGGAATACATCCATGCCAACTTTTCGGAAATGGTCGTTTATTTCGTCGGAGTCCATGGAATTATTGTGCTGTATTTGTTGGACGCGTTTCGGACAAAGAGCTGCTCATCGGCGGCCGCGAGACTTCCGTTGAATGTGATCGACCGCCTTCAACCTCGGCATTGTGTTTGCGTTGTTTTGTGCTCCCCGAATCGGATTACGCATCTATCACGACAGAGGTGTGCTCATCGGCGACCGCGAAACTTCTGCTGAATGTGAGCAACCGCCTTCATCCTCGACATTGTGTTTGTGGATAGTTCTGTGCTGCCCGAATCGGATTATGCATCTATCACGGATTACATGAGATCGCTGTTTTATTTGTAAGTATTCTGCAAGCATGCTTCTGATAGTAGTCCAAGGGGGCTATGTTCGACAAATGTTTCATTTCTCCTAAAAAGAAACGGAAGTGACGGAAGCGACGATATCACGTTTGATTGGTTGGAAGGTCAAATGGCGAAAATAGGTAACTTTCGTCATTTGAACCTCTAACCAATCAAACGCGATATCGTCACTTCCGCCACTTCCGTTTATTTTTAGGAGTAACGAAACATTTGTCGAACATAGGCTCCCTGCTTCCGTTTCAATATACCATTTTACGGTTTACAAACATGAACTGCCGCTTACGTCAACTCCCGGTCGTATTGTCTTTACAAGCCTGTCAGTTTTGTCCACGTCACCAGTGCAAGGAAGCATAAACGTCACAAGAAAAGTACAGTTGGAGATTCAACTAGGGCCTTCGGTTGTACAATTTGAAGGGGTTATGAAACAGTATCCGGTTGAAATATTTATGCCTTACACGCACGGACCGCCACTGGTTTAGAAGCGTCTCGGTCGTGGTGGAATTGCGAGGATAAAAGAGAACTATTTCTTTCAGTCTTGCCTTCGCCAAGTTTGATGACGTGCGCGTGAACGTAGCTTTGCCCTTTGGCACGTTTGTAATTGCACGCACTTGCCCGCATAAGCAGAGACATGGCTGCGGCCAGATGACCTGTTTGCAATCGTCTATTGAGAATTTTGTAGAACCCGTTAGAACCTTGATTAACAAAATAAAAAGTGAACCAGGCATTTCCAGTCATTTTCTCGTGCACTCTTTTGGGTTATTACGCCCTACTTTATGGGTGTTGGTAATCGCGCCTTTTTTATTTCCCTTTCTGGCGCTGATACACACAATTTAGAGGGCGTACTGCGCAGGCATAACGCCCTAATAAAAAGGTGTTCAGTGGAATCACTCCCTAATTGAAAGGTGTTCGGAATAACGCCGTCCTTTAAGGGTGTGTGGTGTCCAAGAACCAGATGGCGCCATATCCCCGCTGTCCGGCATGCGGGAGGAGAGCCCAAAGGCGAGGGGATGACGGAGGGAGAGAATGCATGGCGGCGCGTCGGAGGTCAGACGCACAAGGGCTACGACGTAAAATAAAGTAATGAGTTTTCGTTCGTTACCTGGTTGTCTCCCTCGGCAACACACAAACGACACTACAAGTCTGGCGACGAGAATGGGATGCCGGGGAACACCGCAAGAAGATCCAGCTCGACAGAACGTCTAGAGAAGACGCCGAAAGAGACCCGAGAGCAAGAACACGCCGGTCGAGAGCTAAACAAAGAAGCTGCCCTAGAACCAAGTAAGCAGTCGCCATGGACCTTCGCGTCCCGAGCATTCCACCGTTCGATCCGCATGCTGATCCAACTTCTGTGTTTCAGCGCTGGATTCGATGGCATGCAAGATTCGAGAATTATCTCGTCGCCTCCCACGTCACGAACGACGAAAGAAAGCGTGCACTGTTGCTGCACCTCGCGGGAGAAGCCGTTCACGACATTTTCATCACGCTCCCGAACACGGGCACTCTTTACGAAACTGCGGTCGAGAAATTGAAAGCTCACTTCGCGCCAAAAAAGAACGCAGTTTTCGAGAGACATGTGTTTCGGCAAGCGAAGCAAGAGCCGGTGTAGGACGCCGATCTCACTACCCCTCCGCTCCGACTACGGTAGTGGTTTTGGCGTACGCCAAAATCAATACCGTAGTCATTTCGGCGTACGCCATAGTCAATACCGTAGTCTTTTTCGCATACCCCAAACACACTACCCTTACGCCAAATTCAATACCTTGAATAACGTCGGCGGAGCAGGGGTTGAGCTCCGCATTTCGCTAAAACTGGCGGAAGTAACTTTCTGCAGCATAACACCCTGATTGTTTGTTGTTGTTTGTATGAGCGGCGGAACGCGCGCGGCAGGCGTTAATTAATTGTGATTGGCGTTGATACGGCTGACGGCGCGCAGAGCTGAAGGGCACAAGCAAGGAAGCTTGGAGTGATTCTGTGTCGATGTGATTTGACATCGTTTCTTTCTGGTTCTTCGATCATGGTGCAAATGCAGGTGCCCGACTCCCGAGCGATTCGAAGGCAAGAGTGGTAGCCTGTCCGCTGGTCTTTCAATCGCATGCCCTGTCGTCATTTTGGGCACAGCGGAAGAAAATAAGACGTTCACTATTTTAAATAGCGTGCGATCGGCCTGTCTAGGTTCTGGCGACACCGTTTCAGGCTGTAGATGAGAAAATTTAGCCTCTACAGTACGACTGCTAGCCTGGGGTCTGTGCCTCACAACAGATCGAAACGGGTAGGGGTGGGGATCCCTGGCAGTGGGACCTTTCGCCGTACGAGCTGCGGTGCGCTAACACACTCGACCTCCGATACCCCCTTGGGTCACAGCGCTTGCTGAAAAAAGTTTGGATCGTTTTACGCAGATTTTGCAGTGCGTACGAGACGCGCAACAGCTACGTACTACGTCCTAGATGCCCAAACTGAGGCTCGCTACTTGTGCGCGGCTGTCGTGATCTACAGCTGGGAACAGTATGCTCGCCATGAAAACGTTGCAGTGAGAAGTACGGAAAAGTAATACTATAAAAGTATAGTATCTAAAACTGGCTTACATTGTCACTGAACATATGGAAATAAAGCTGATTAGGAATGCCGATCAGATGGGTGGGAATGTTATATAATGTGCTCAAGTTATGTGTGGCGTCACGTCGGCACAGGAATTCAAACTGGTTGCCCCCACCCCCGCTCCTAAATTCTTCCAATGCTGCTGGCAGCTTTTATATATATATATATATATATATTTATTTATTTATTGTAACTTTAAAGGCCCCAACAGGAGCATTACATAAGGAGTGTGTGTGTGTGTGGGGGGGGGGGGAAGTACATGAAAAATACAAAAGGTCAACATATGAACAGACAGGTGGCTGATACCTACAGGGCTGGTGAGTAATATAAACAGTGAGAACAAGTGTGTGTGAAATAAAACTGGTACATAAATACACTTGCTAAAAGAGTAATCGAAGCATTGCGGAACAAGACGGGGTTACCTATTGCCGGGCCAAACCAGGGTAATCACCGACTCACACCAAGCATACCGGAGCTTCCAGTCGAGCCTGGTGTCCTGAAAATCGCTGCAGGTGCTCAAAAACAAAAAAAAACCCAAAGGAGCCCATAGAATTTGAATGGGTACCTGCCCCCCCCCCCCCCCCCCCCCCCCCCCGTGGTAGAGGGCAACAAACTTCCTCACCAGCAGGCCCGTGCACTGACTTACCGGGCCACAGCCGTGGAAGAGGTGCAGGACCAACCCATGGTCACCTAATAGGAAATACTATTCGCATTCTACTGCAAAGAAAGGCGAAGACTGCCAGCCCCGCATCCTAAGTTAACGCTGGAGGAACAAGTAGCGTATAGGAAAATTCAGTCGGGGTCCTTCCCCCACCCCCTTTCACTCAGTCGCATATGTTCATCACTCAATACAGTGGGAACTGCCCAGTATGCCAAGAGATAGGAGCCCTCCGCCACAACATACGTGAGTGTAAATTCAATCAAGACCACCCACCACCCTTTCCCCTGTAGAGCGATGGGAGAACTTGCTGTCCAGCCCGCCCTGGAGGATCAGCTTCAATTGGTCAACAGGGGCCAGGCAGATAAGGCAGCATATAGTATCTCGTGAAAAGGGAAGCCCTTCCTTCTGGCACAGACCACCGTGCTGAAATGCTCAGATTAAAAGTTTATTCTCTCTCTCTCTCTGATTGGTTGAAGTAGTTTGTGATCCGAGATACGTGACATGGGTGATTTAGTCGAGACGATGCTCTTCAAGGAGGAAGTACGAGTGAGTTATGAAGCATTGGATTATAATAGAAAATTTTATGAAATGGGGTTAAGCATGATATATCTTGTGGCGCGACTTATATAGCGGGCATTTCAGTGCAGAGACACTAGTTCTTCGGTAATGGTCATTAAGAATCGACCTGGCCGTGCGATCTTGAACTGACTCAAGATGGTTAATGGGATAAATTTGATGAGCATTCCGAATTGCTGCTGCATACTCCAACTTTGGTCCAACGTAAGTCTCGTATGCCATTTTCCGGAGATGAGATGGTGGCGCCTTCAGATTTCTTTTGATGTACCCGAGAGTGCGCAAAGCCTCTGCTGAGTCTGTTTCAATGTGGTTATTCCAGGTTAAGTGATTAGGTAGTGTTGCACCAAAATATTTATAGATGGAGGCAGGCAGAGATGATTAGTCCAGAGCCAATGGAATACGAAAAATATGATGTTACATGTTTCCAAGTAAAGCAAAGTAATTTACATTTTGACATGTTTAATGACATTAGCCATTTGGAGCACCAGGCATGAATCAGGTCAAGGTCACTCAGAAGATTCAAATGGTCATCAGACAAATTAATTTTGCAATATAGGACACAATCGTAAGCGAAGAGACAGACTACAATTGATAAGTCGTTAATAAAAATAAGAAACAGTAGTGGACCTAGTAATGCCCCCTGTGGAACCCCAGATATAACGTTAGTAATATCTGACATATGGTTGTTAGCCACAGTGAACTGAGTGCGAGAAAATAGAAAGTCACGAATCCAAGGAAGGACCAAAGGGTCAATACCCAGGATAGAAAGTTTTGAAATTAGATGACGATGGGGAACTCTTTCGAATGCCTTCGAGAAGTCAAGGAATACAGCATCGGTTTGGCCCTGCGAGTCAAGGTTAGTGATTAACTTGTGTTTGAGTTCAAAGAGTTGCGTTTCGCATGAAAAACCTCTTTGAAATCCATGTTGATGATTGTAAAAAATATGATTGGCTTCTAAATATGATATGAGATGGTAGTTTGAGTCCAGCACACGATTACCGCTTTTAAAGACCGGAATGACCTTCCCCAGCTTCCAGTCCAATGGTGTACTCCGTTCCACCTTCAGTCCGACTGGACGTCGGGAAAAAATCGCGTGACCTTTCGGTTGGCCAGAGCGACGCAGGGAGCTCAAGGTCACATGACACTCTCTCAACGCTGAATTGGCTGGGATAGCTCCTAGCGTTTGCTGCGCTCGGACTGAAGGTGAAACGGAGTATAGGCAATCCTGCTGTGATGACTAAGAAAATATGAATCTGAGGAATTCACAGATATTACTTTGGTGTTGCTAAGAACTTTGGGGCTAATATTGCCTGGACCAGATGATGATGAGAGTTTTAACCCTTCTATAAGTCAAAGCATTCTGGAAGCAGAAATGTTAGTGTCAATGGGGGCCATGGGCTCAAAACCAGAGCAAGGCAAACTTAATATATGATCAATGCTTTCGTTTGATAGTATGGAAGAGAAATACTTATTTAAAGCGGTAGTGCAATGTGGCTCACACAACGTTTACATTTTCATTCTTTAGTCGGATAGAGTCAGTATTATCTCTGGGTGAAAATACCTTCCAGAACTTCTGGGGGTTACTTTAGCAGAATTCTTGCAGGTTCAAAGAAAATAACTTCTTTTTCGTCAACTTTACGCTCTGTACAAGATTTGAGACATGAAAAATAATCGTCCCAGACTTTGTTATTATTTACTCTTTTAGCTCTTTTATACATGCGCTTCTTTTTGTTATTTATAATGATCGTGAAGTTTTATTGTACCAGGGGTTATGCCCGTCGCTGTTTACAATAACATTCGGAACAAACTGCTGAGTTAGGTTATCAAGTTTGTTTTTAAATAGTAACCAGTTTTCTTCCACCGATCTTGAACAAAGGTTTTTGACATACAACTGATAGAACGATGACACGTTCCGATTTATGGTGACGTAGTAATCACCTTTGTTATAGCTCACGAATTGTTTGAACAGTTGGGCTCAGCGTCGGCAAAGGGATAGATAACTCGATGATCAAGATGCCGTGGTCACTTAAGCCAGCAACACAGTTGACAGTTTTTATTATTTCTGGTGTGCTTGTAAGGGTACGGTCAAGAATATTGTCACCACAGGTGGGTTGTTCAACAACTGGGGTGAGGTTAAAATTCAAACATGAAAAACTCTCGCGCAGCATTCGAGCTGCTCGTGGTAAGATGAACCCAGTCAATGTTTGGAAAATTTAAGTCGTCAAAGATAGCAAAGTCTCCTTTTGGGTAAAGACTCTAAATGTCGAGCAGTATGGTGCGCAAAGTGTCGCAGTGCTCAGAACCATTGTTCGGTGCCCGATAATACGATGGGCAGGAGATCAAACTATAAGGGGTACTTTATTTGAACTTGTCCCCATAGCCCGGTGTTTACTACCAGAGCATAACAAAGAAATTGAACCTAGTCATCAGTCGTGGGCACGTTAACAGCAAAAAGTAACAGTGTTACAGTTACAGTTACCTAGGGGGGAAAAGTAACACTGTTACAGTGACAGTCACCGGCTTCAAAAAGTAAAATGTTACAGTTACTGCAAAAAGAGTAACGCCGTTACTTTCTCGTCACAGTACAAAAATTGGACTTAAGAAATCACAAACCAAAACAATATTATTTTATTTGTTACACTATACAGTAAGAAGAAAGGTAAACTGAGAAATTAGAAAAATTTAAACCCAAAGGGTGTTTCTTTTTTTTGTGTGATTCGCCATTTCAGCATTTTGATATGCATAATTTATTTGCAATAATTGATAAGCCAATGCTTTTGATGAGCGACATCGAAGATGACGCTCCAAAGGCCACTTTTTATACGACCAAAGCGCTGGTAAGAGCGAAGCGAAGCACTCGTATCCAGACCGTGCATGACAAGCAGTCTTGGGCAGTAACTTGCTACTAGTAATGCGTTACTGGTAACTAGAGTTACTTTTTGGTAACAAGTTATTCTTTACTGCTGGTAACTTGTAACTGTAAGACTGTTTCTTTTGTATTGGGTAACTGTAACTGTAACTCCACGCATTAAACAAACAAAAAATTGTCTGGTTTAGCACACGACTGAGAATCGAGTCAGTACGAAACCAGGAGATAAAGGAAGCAGCACCCACAGTGGTAGGGGCGGCGAACAATGTCCGTTTCACCAACTTTGTCTCACTCTTCTCATGTGGGGACCATTTGCAGGTGTCGGTGCTCGTGCAATATGTCTCTGAGTGTTCTCCCTCTCTTTTCGCCTTTGTAGGATGTGCGCTGTCATTCTTACACCCAGCGGGTCACCGTCTCCTCTTCCCTATTAGTTTTTAAGGAAGCCGTCCCCACATTGTGCAGAAAGCCGGCGCTTGTTTCACTTATTTGTTCTCTTCAGAGCCGCTCGAGTAAACACGAAGGCAGGTTCAAATGAAATATCCTTTTTCGTTGATAACCTCAAGAAACACCTCAATGGTTGGACACTTTGCTGTGGAACCACAGATGGCTTTTTGGACACAGACACCGCAGTGGTCGTCGTACATTCTCGTTGAGCACCAGAAGGCCTCACTTTGTCTCCTTTCCTGTATATTCTTTCGAAACTGTTTGACCCGCTACGTTCAGGCCTGCTTCCGACTATATCCCGTGAGGTAATTATGCGATCATCCGTGTCCTCAATCGTTTCGGGGTCAAAAATAAACAAAAACATTAACTGATGTGGGCCGATGACAATTTTGAAAAACAGTTTATATTCTAAGTTATAGTCATGCAAATAGTGGATTTTGAGTTTGAAGTGAAAAATTTTGGCCAAATATTTTCAATTTGAACATTGAAAAGTTTTCCCATGCCTTTCACTGCATTATATGCTTAGACGAAAACCCAGCTAAAATCGTGAAGGTTGTTCTACTTATTCATTTATAAGGTAAGTTTAACTATCAAATATTTATGAACTGTGACCTCAGAAGGTCCGATGTCATGGGATGGCAGGTAAACGACGGATCTGATATAAAATGAATCCTATAGAGACAGCCAATCATACCTAATTGAGTGAATTTACAAATCTTGCCATATAAAATATTCTTTCTTTAATCTCGAGTTAAAAAGTGAAAGAGGTTTACAACTCCCTATAATGCCGAATTAGAGCGCAGCTCTTGAGGAGGAGGAGGGAAGTAGTGAAGGGAAGGTATATCCCTCCTCCCCCCTCTCCTCCTTATCCTCCTCCTCTCCTCATTCTTGAATCTCCTCCGGGGGGGGGGGGGGGGAGGGGGGGTTATGTGACCTTGGGGGGGGGGGGTGTCTCAGAGGGGGTCACGTGACCTCGGGGGGGGGGGGGGGGGTCACATGCAGCCCTAGTGGTTAGTCCATGCTAAGTGTGAGGAAATCTAACATGCTGGGAGCTTGTATCCATTTAGCCGAAAAACCAATTACTTTTATCTAATTGGAGACGTTTGGCTAACAGCTAGGAGGGAGAGGGAGACAAATTTTATTTACAATGATGCTTCGTCCGCATTATCTGCATCTCAATCATTAGCGGTCAAAAAGATGCTGGTAGTGAGGGCGGCAGCGTGGTCCCTGCGACGTTGAGAATGTGTGACACTAATTGGGGCCATGTCAGTTGTGCTTCCCGGGGTGGGGCGGTCCAGCTCTCCCAACTGACAGATGTGGAAGGCATGAGGAGGAAGGGGGTGAGGTATTATGGAGATTATTGTGCGTGAGTACAGATCGGTTAGGGCATGTTATTAGGCACATATTCCAAAAGCGCCGCAAAGCAATATTTAGCCGACATTTAAGCCATTGCACGGTGCAGGCACATAGCCAGGATTTTGTTTCGGGGGGCGCCCGCCCATGACTAAATTCTGTATAAGGGGAAGGGGTGAGAGGTGGTCCCAGCAAAATGGAAGATTTCGGGGGGAGCCCGGGCGCCATGGGTCTCTCTCCTGGCTACGTGCCACGGTGTATACATGAGTAAATCCTAGTGCTGCAGGGGGGAGGGGGT